TTACATTTATAGACAGATTTACAATTGAAAGGAAAAAAGGTCTTAATAAAATTAGTTTCTGTTTTTGTTTTTTACAAACTGTAGTTCAACCAAAGTTCTCAGTCTCCTCATGCAGCAGATGCAATATTTATCTCCACCGGGTGTGGATCAGAAAAATATACAAACAAATCCTACCAGGTTTGTTTCATTTCACACTGTACACTGCTTGGAGCACCACACTAACTTTGATCATCATCATAGCTCGGATGCATTCCTGATCCTCATTCATCTTCATCCTCTTCATCTTCCTCTCCATCAGACAGGGATGTGCAAGGCCGGATCTGTCGATAACGGTCAAGCCATTTTTCTACCATCTGTGTGACCAGGGGGTGATTACGCCTCCGAGAGCTTTTCTGCATGGCAACTAGAACTCCCCCTTCGGTCACGCAGCAATCCAGCCACTCCCTGAGCAGTTTCTCTTGCTGTTCCTCATTACCTAGCTTTGAGATGAGTTTGAAGAAAAAAAGAAATCAACAGATCAGAGGATAGGTACAACCTAGAACTGGTATGACAATGAAAAGGCCAAAACAATAATCTACCATAGTTTCATCCTCTTACCGGTTTTATAATTAAAACCCAGTTTTTCAGATGAAATTTTTAAACACATCAATGGGAAAATTCTCAGAAAACTGTAGTTAAATGAATACCCTACCCTAGAAGGTAATTTGACAGGATAACAAAAGCCAGTCAATGCTCTAACTGATCCTGGCAAAGAAAATGCCAGAAAAAGTTAAGTCAACAAACTTCAAACACATGACAAGGTAAGTTTACTTGGTAATTATGTACAGGCTTAAATTGTACAAGTTATGGTCCATTACTTATTTTTCTCAATGTTGTGATTATAAATGTTTATGATCATTACTAGTATACTGAATAAAAGATCAATAATTTTATATGAATATGGACTTTCTGAGAGAGTATTCTTTTGCACAGTCTCACAATCTTCCCTGCCTAGTATATACTCACTCTCCCCTCTATCTAATGATGAATTGCCTAGGCATCTATTCTCAACCAAGCAGCCACAGTCCCTCTTCTGGGTAAACTGGTTGTTCACTTCCCAGCTTACCAATGGTACAATCAAGAATTTTAAGAGCCAGCAAACTGAATTTTCTAACTCCTCTGACCTCACCTTTTGCCTGCCCTCTTTCCTTGACCACTCCCCTTAGGCACGCTGGCTCTGGCAGTTCTTAGAAATGCATACTGCAAAACTGACATCCCTCCTTAAGACCTCTAGTCACCCTGTTTAAGTCACAAGTTCTCTAGGCTTTTTGCTTTTCTCTTAGCACTCATCTGAGGTCAAAGTCCTTTTACTCTTTATTCATGCATTAATTCTAAAAAGGTAAGTTTCAATCTCAATGACCAAAATTTACAGAAAAATACCAATTTCAACCACGTTCAAAAATATAGTTGGTGATACATACAGTCAAGATCAACCTGAGATGTTGCTTACCTCCTGAGCAGATAGAAAATGCACGTGCAATAGTTTCCTTTCACTGTCAACCAGAGGCAAAAATGTGATGGTGACATCATCGTCGGTGTTCAGGTTCGCACCAGCACCTCGGTTACCATACCCATCATTTTCCATGGCAACCAAAGCAGAGAAGTGGCCCCTTGTATAGCCAAGAGCAATTGGGCTTTTCCAACAAAAACTCTGTTCCCACAATAAAGGTAGATAAACCCCTGAAAAATGGCAGACAAATGTCAACATTCAGGTGAAAAGAGCCCTGGTCCCTTGCTTCCTATATCCACATGGCTCTGGCTACTGTTACAACTTCTGAGCCATCCTCTCGTCCTCCCCCACTAATGATTGCTTACAGACATTCCTTCAATAATGGCTTACCTTGAAACCGAGTATATCCTAAAGTTTCTCCCCGGAAACTCTTATAATACTTTACTCCATAAACTATAATTGGTCGTCTAAGAATATGTGCAAGTACAAAAATGTGTGTCTGTTCCAAACTTGCTCCAGGCTATACAAAACAAAAGGAAAAATTTATCTTCATATGATTATAAAAACCAACACTACTGTCAGCATACTGTCCCCATTTTTTATTTTGTTTGCTGACTCGGGGTTTCACTACTTCAGGCTAGCCATGAACTCTGTACTTAAAAGTTGGCCTTGAACTCACAGCAATCTGTCTCAGCATCCCAAATGCTGAAATTGGAGGTGTATCTTACCATGGCCAGCTCAATTCATTTAAAAATAAATTTAAACTGTTTGACTCCCCCAATAGTAAAGTCCTATAAAAAAGTAATAGAAATCTACAGATTCTATACACAAGTATCGTTCACTCACTAGCCAAACTTACAAACTGGATACAGACCACATATATAGATAAATACTGAGTTAACCTTTCCTATCCAATCATAAAACTTTGCAATATCAAGAACCAGAGATTCAGACAGTAAAGCATGATTTCTATAACTACATTCTACATTAACTAGGAAAAGGCTATATAAAACAAAATTCTGGGGGGAAAAGATGAAACTTCCATTTCACACTAAGTTAAAGGGCACTATCATAAAGAGTAATACTCAAGTGGTCTATCTTCCAGTTACAGTGACTCCTGACACAGACCGATAAAGCACAGGTCTGTGATTAGATTAGCAGTGAACCCTGCCCTAAAATGGCCCAAATAGAAGGTACTTCCTTCTCGGGATTCAAATAGACTATACAGTGCTTTCTAGATCTGAAATTTACAACATTTAGTGAATAAAGTTAGCATAAAACCAAGGGTAAAAGAATGACCCCACACAGTTCTGTATTCTCTAGAGGCTTCATTTACAAAATGTGGTAGCAGATACCAGAAAAATCCATTCCCACATCAATTAAAAGTCATTTCTGTCTGTGGGAATTAGGTCCTTTGAATATGAGAGAAGGATGAAGCCTCATCTTTCTACCTCAGATACAGAAGAGAAGCTAACCTGCAGGTGTGATAGGAATAAAACCTCCTATGGGGAGGGGGACTGGAGAGCAATCTCAAGACTACACAGTGCTTAGAATCATCACAGTATTTTCACTTCAATAGTTCTTACCACTTAAACACATTATTCTGCAAGTTCTGTAGTGAGGATTTGCTATGGTAATATATTTAACAAACAGCAGTCATGCCTAGAACCCAAGTTGACTGATGCCAGTCAAGTACTTTTCCTTTGTACCACAATGGCTCCAACATGGACGCTCAAACAAGTTTTGGAATTAAGGCCCTGTGGCTTACCATCTCATAGGAGCAGCTACCTGCAACATCCTTACCTGACTAGCAAGAGAGAGTATAAATGCCCAGTCTTCTTGCCATTGTTCTTCTCTCAAAGAAAAATGTAAACCAAAGCTCTGAGAATACCAAGATTCCCAATCTTTCCAGCGTGTATAAAACCTAAAAAAAGAAAAACCAAGATGGTAAAATAAAACAGGCCATAGATAAACCAATTATTTTTTATTTTACTTTTTAAAATTTTATTGAGAATTAAATATGAATGAGACAGTTTCAAAGCTGAATAATACGAGTTTCGATAATATATTGTACATGGTTATCTTCTTAGTGGTTATCCATAGTACAAGAAGTAGACAGGATGTCCTGTCCAAACACTATTAGTACACCTCTTTCTTTGCATTGAATTAAGTGAAAGTAGCTGTATATCTATCCTATTTTGTATATATAAATACAAAATGATCTTTCCTTTGTATCCCCCTTTTTTTTTTGTTTAGTCCTGTCAGAGGTGAATATTCTATTGGCATCTAAATACTATAGGTGTTTGAATTCAGCTAAACAATCCAACTCTGTCTAGCAGTCTATAATATTAGTGGATTATCCTCAGAAGTTATTGATTTGAGCCTTTTACAGCTCATCATATTAATATGGCTTTACTTTATATACCTCATTTTTATACTTTGCTGGATGATTAAGACCAAGATAAAGCAAGACCTATATATATATATATATATCAAGAAATGTAACTTTTGTATCTGATAAGGTCAGTCAAGTACCCTCAGGATTTATCCTGTAGCCCTGTACCGCACTTTATAAGATCCTTTGTCAGTGTCAGCCATGAAGATGAGTCACGGCCATTGCTTGACTAATTTGCTCTCTGTGAAAGCCTGACAGAATGTTTTTTCTCTCCATGTGACTCTCCCTAGGCACACTATACATCATAGATCACATTCCTCTGTGGTTCCCAATCACCTTGATCAGAAAATCTGGAGCACAACTGAGTTACATATTGTTACAGTATGGGTTCTCCTATGTCCCGAGTCTTCACTGACCTTGAAAGGCTAGGGCCAAAATGTTGGCTGACTTTGCAGCCCTTCCTTTACCAATTTTGAACTGCTAACTTAGGTTGTTAACCCTCTAGAAGAGAAGCTTATTATTAACCTGCAATATATGCAGTTTGTAAACCAATTACATAGTGTAGTCGTTAGGCAGTTCATATCAAGAATTTAATTTTACCAATTTCACCTCACTTCAATATATTTTTCAAATTAAAAATGCTCTATTCTGTTAGCAGACATTTTTACCATAGTTTCAACCAGGACAGATTTACCATCCACCAGAAACTTCCATCGAACAGTAGTGATAAGAACAGTTACTCTCAATTGTGTGCTCCTGGCTTACCAAAATTCTTCTAAATGTATCCATACTCGAATAAAAACAAAATATCCCATGTAGTCATAAGAACAGCAAAATCACTGCTCTAAAATTTCTGCCTATAACTGATGATCATGTGATAATCTAAAAACAAATCACTGCATGTCTCAGTTACTTTTTCTTTTTGCTGGGACAAAATACCTGATGCCCAGAAAGTAAAGTTTTGTGCAGGTTTCAGTCCATACTGGCTCCGAGGCAGCATGATACATGGGAGAGGACAACAGGTCATGACAGTAGAAAACAGCACAATGCAAAAAGGAAGGAGCAGAGGCAAAGAGCAAGCCTCTCTCCCTTTGACTGTATTCAGGCTGTCTGCTCCAGACCAGGTGTGGTACTCACACCCATAATCCCAGCCTTGGATCATGAATTAATCACAAACTCTAGAAGCCTACCACCCTATCACTGCATGAGAAATTGGGGAACAACTAGAAAGAACCCGAAATACTGTAACTACAAAAACAAGTCTCTTTTTCATATTTAGTACCTTTGTAAATGTTTTATCCTGATAAATCAGTCAAATCTAAAAACGCATCACTGGAAGACTACACAACTGAAAGTACAATATATTCCTTCTTCACATCACATAAAATTAACCAAAAGCATAAATAATTATGCTCAAAAACTGTGGCTCACAGTCTTATAAAGAAACTATTCATTTGGGTCCAAATATCCCCCTAAAGCCTTTTTGGATGTAGCAAAACCTAGAGTATGTGATTGATTCATAGTGCAATGCATGAATTAAGGGTAGGTGGTTGCTGGATCAGTCCACTGATTAGACTGGCACAGCCCTAATCCCAGTAGACTGGATATAACAGAAGGGACAGAAACAAACTTGTCCGCTTTCTTGTTGCTTTTGCTTTCTTCCACTGCCAAGAACGGTTGCCATGTTCCACCCTTGCCTTGGAGCTCACAAACTGTGAGCTAAATAAACCTTTCCTCCTTTAACTTTGGGTGTTCAAATCCCCAGTACCAATGCACCCACCCCCAATAAACAATCTGCTGAGCCGGCCAAATAGCTCAGTGGATTAAGGCATCAGCTTGGATGCAGGGGCCTGGAGTTCGTCCCCAGGCCTGCTGTGCCGGCCCTACCTCTAGGGTGTGCTGAGATGGCAATTGAGACTGAATGTGGTGACACACGCCTGTAATCCCAGCACTTGGGAGGCTGTAAACAGATGAATCACTACGAGTCTGATGTATGCAGTGAGACCCTGTACACCCTGTCCTAAAATTAAAAAAAATTTTAAAAAGTCTGCTGTTCTGGTGGGAAGTTCCAACATGGTAAAGTTAAATAAAATGACATCATAGGCATCTTCATGGTAATTTAACAGAGGACTCTGGAAAATGAATACATTTTAGAGTTTTTAAAATTAGGTAGACAGGACTAGTCAGATAGCTCATTGGACTGGGCATGGTGGCACGTGCCTATAATCCCAGCACTGGGAGGCAAGACAGGAGGATCACTACACAAGTCCAAGCTGCATAACGAGACCGTGTACCAAAGAAATAAATATTTTTTTAAACTTGATAAGCCAGAATCAAAAATTTCTATTGAAATCCAAAGGCCTCAAAAGAGTCGCTACAGTAGTGGACATAAATCAGAAGAATTTTACTTTCACAGTAAAGATTTGATAAAAGATGCCAAAACTACAGGTTGGGGTAAAACAGACCTAGGATAACTAGATATCCACCAGCAAGAAGATGGATTTAGGTTTTCATACTTCACTTCTGAAACAAAAATTAACTCAGAATAGATCAAAAAGCTAAATGTGAAAGTTAAAAACTAGAAAAAGTCTTAGAAGAAAAACAGGTATAAATCTTTGTGGCCCTGGGCTAGAAAAGACTTCTTTAGATGCAAAAGCACAAGCAATAAAAGAAAAGTATTGATCAAAGTAAAAATAAATAAATAAAAAACAAAGTAAAAAAATATTTACAGATTGCATGTCTAATGAGGGATTTGATGCATAAGGAATATGTACAACTGAATAATGACACAATCCTCTTACAAATGAGCACAAGGGACCTGGGAATGTGGCCTAAGATGCTTGAAGTCCAAAGTGTTTTGGGAGGAGGGGGCCCTGAATAATGTGGAATGTTATTTCACCAAAGATAATATATGAATGATAACATCATTAACACATAACAAAATGTTCAATGTCAAAAGTTATTAAGCACATGCAAATCAAAATGAGACACTACTTCATGTTACACAAGAATGACTATAATCAAAATATTGGTGAACAAATATTGGTGAAGATGTAGAAAAACTGTGACCTTCAGATACTGTTGAAAGGACTATAAAATGATAAAACACAGCTTAGCAGTTTCATGAAATGTTAAACGGGTTTACTACATGACTAGCAGTTCTACTCATAGCTATATACAGAAATGAGAGGGGCTGGGGAGATGGCTCAGCAGAATAAGCGCTTCCCCGGCAAGTGCAAAGGCCTGAGTTCAATCCCCAGTTCCGCCAAAAAAAAGAATGAGAACATACTATTCCACAGAGACTTGTACGTGAATAGTGACAGCAGTATTATATATAGCCAAAAGAAACTACAAATAGCGCTATGTCCATCAGCTACTGAATAGATACAAAAAATGTAGTATATAATCACACAATGGAATTTAAAGAAACAAACTACAATACATGCATGGTTGAATTTTTTTGGAGATATTATGCTGACTAAAAGCCATTCACCAAGCCATTCACATATTTGGTGATTCTACTTATATGCCATGTCCAGAAAAGAAATGTAAGACACACAGTACATTAATAATTGCCTGGGACTAAGGCTGGGAAGAAGGGACTTTAAAAAGACACAAGGTTTTCTTTTTGGCTTTCATGAAAATATATAATTCTGTTGTAGCAGCAGTTTCACAATTCTATAAATTTAATAATCATTGAAGATAAATCCAGTGATAACTGCACATGGAAATCAAGGGCATTTCATGCTGCACAAATTATACTTCGATAAACCTTTCTTTAAAAAAAAACAATGAAAGGCTGGCCAGATAGCTCAGCAGATTAAAGCACCTGCTTAGGCAGAGGTAGGAACCAGGGCTTGATCCCTGGCATGGGTGATTGAGACTAGGCATGGTGGTACACACCTGTAATCCCAGTTCTTGGGAGACTGAAAATAGGAGAATCAGGGGCTGGTGAGATGGCTCAGTGGTCTAAAGCACCTACTTAGAACAAGCTTAGCAAAGCATAGGAACCACGGTTCAATCCCCCAGCACCACATGCCAGCCAGCCCTGCCCCCTGGTGGGCTGAGCTGGTCACACACACACACTAAATAAATAAATAAATAAATAA